AAATTCTATTTATATTGTAATTTTATAGGTGTAGAACAAGATACCAAATTAACAAAACAAAAAGATGTTAATTCTAACTATGAACTTAAATATTCACAACTTTATATTGACTTCTTTCAAACGAACTCATCAATACCATTGCCAATTAATTTTCGTTCAAATAAACTTTCTACTTGTAATTTAATATAGTTTTATAATTATATATCAATTCTTTGTGATTATTTATTTATAGTATTAAAGGCAAAATCTATGCAACAAATTTTAAAAATTTCAATTCAGAGTTCTAATGGATCTACAATATTCTTTAATTCTGATAATAAATATTCAATGATATTATCAGGAGAAGTTTGTATTGAAAATATATTCTAATTAGTAGATAATAATTGTTCTTTTTTTTTATTTTCTAGATTCCTGAAATGTTTCATTGTACACTTGGAACCGGTTGGAAATGGTTAAAAATATCAATAATTACTGATAATAAACTAAGTTCTATCTATTATATTGACTTAGGAAATGGAGATAAAAAGAATCCGAATTATTTTAATATTCATGAAAAATCATTCATGTAAGTTATTATTCTTACAAGAAAAAATCATACGTCATCTTTTCTTTCACAAACAGAAAGATATTATCATAGTATCTTATCGATCATCAGTGTGTCAAATTTTTATGAACAGATTCGACTCGATCCAACCTAAAATAAACTATATTTTCCGTCATCGTACTCGAATTAGATTCTGATTTCGATACCTTTTCTCTTTATCTTAAGATAATCAATTTCTCAATTCTTTTGTCGTTCATGATAGGATATGTATGTGGATACTGATGTGAATATAGATCTTTTGTGTACTCTGATTGATAACTTAGCCTATTCTTTCAATCATGATTTTCATTTAATATATTACGAAATAATTATTTGTTTTTTTAATATTCTTAGTATTAAACATTAAGATAATATTTATCTTATTCTATTCAATTTCTTTGTATACATATTAAAAAAATTTTGTTTTCTAGTGTACCATTGGAAATTGTCAAGGAAGCGCCTGGAATGATTCATAATGTGAATGCATATAGAACATCATCTAGCAATCAATCTGAAGGATTAATTAATAACTTAAGTAATAATTTATATTTGAAGATCTATTGAATTTTTTAGTTTAAATACATTTTTTCTTTATTATAGGTGATAATGAATCTTTCAAAAATCAAAATGATTCAACATTAACTATAGAAGTTCTTAATTATTTTCGTATACAAATTCTATTATTACATAGTAAAAGTTTTCCCGATGATTCATCTATCATATATTATCCACAATGTCCACCATGGAATAGTGAAGATTTTAAGGAATGTAAGTAAAATGTTTTATCTCAATTAGCAACTAACTAAAAGGATTAAAAGGAATTTCGAATGGAGGCTAAATTTATCTCATTGTAATTATCATAAAAATTCTTATTGGCAATGAATAGTTTAGAGCGTCTTATAGAGTTTAGCAGTTTACGTTTATTATTAAAGCCTAATACTCAGCAAGATAGTATTGATGTTTCAATTTCAAGCAATAGTGAATGAACATCAATATTAGAATGACAACAAGTAGATATGATCACTTAATAGGTGTTTTTTCGTTGTGAAACAGAAAAATATTCTTTACTTAGGATATTTAGTTTAAAACAAAAAAAAAGTTGTTTTATATTCATTTTATTTTATTTTTTAGTTTCAAATTTTGCACAAACGCAAACAAATCAATATGATAATGAACCTTGCAATAATCCTATTGAGTACCTAATAATTCATTAAACATTGAAATTCTTTTTATTTTCTTCTTAGATTACCAATTACAAGAGCATTGAAAACAAATAAAAAATAATAGTTAAATTTTTTAAATGATAAATTTCTGACAATTATTAAAATTTTCATCTATATTCCCGCATACCGAACAAATAAACATTTTTCTGATTTTTGTGAAGAATTTTCATTCTTTTTCTCATCTATATACATTTTTTTAATTTTTTTTGTGTCTGTAATATTAATATAGTTAAATTTTTATTATTATTTTTATTTTCAAAGTGATATGTTTATCTTGAAATCAATCTGAATTCTATTTTATGATAAAGAGAATATTTCTTAAATGATAAAACTGTTAATAGAAATTCTATAAAACACGATTCGACTGTTTTAGACTCAAATAAGAAAGCTTAATGATATGAAACAGATTTCTGATCAAATTAAAGTGTTTTAATGATATATTTTATTGAATAGAAATGAGAAAAAAAGAATAGGAAACTGATATCTATGATCAGTACGAGATGTAAGCCGGTGCATTGATCTATGACTAATAAAAATCGGATGGTAATATCTCTAAAATCTGATTTGAAACATCAGGAATTTCAAATATCTATTTTTGTATTATGGCGGTTCAACTCATCAGTCTATACTTCTAACTGTGTATAATGAAAACGAACAGTTATAAATATTTTACATTGAAATGATACATTTATTATATTTTCGTATTGGCTTTTGGAGTTTAATGCAATATAGTAATACAATGACTTCGAGCTTTCCGATTCGACAGTGATTTCAATAAAAAAAAAAACTTCTTTTAAATGATAAAACTCTATTGAATTGAAAATATTGTCAATCAATTATAGATAGTGAAATAAAGTAGTATTTTTTATTCAACTAATAATTGATAAAGTTCTCGAAAATTAATATAGAGCAAGTTATCATTTAGATTTCTTTTTGATAGTATGAAATCTCTGGATTTTTTTTTATTCTCCATAGAAGTTAAAACTCGGAAGTTACTTTTCCACGTGATCTGAAGATATTAGCTTTTTATTGAAAAACTTACTAAAATTTTGATATCTGGAGAACACGAAGGTCTTAAAACTAGTATTCATCAAATGAACATTATCTCGGTCAAAAAAACGATTTGACATCTGAAAAGATTCTCTCGTGAATGTTAACGCAACATTCGCGTCTACACAGTTCGAAAACGACTCATATTTATCACATTCTCTTTTGCTAAAAATTTCTCTTTTTATCATCGTTACAGATTATTGTAAGGATAATGAAATGATATTGAATATTTTGACCATATTAAAACGATAGGTACGATTTGATTACTTCATGCTGGCTAATAAAAAAAAAAAACCTATTTGATTTTGTCTTCTTTTTTTTTGAGAGCTTCACAATATCAACTGTTTATTACAATAAGAAAAAAAAAAAAAAAGTCCATACAACTACTATCTACTAAACATGTTCTTTTTTGTTTTTAAAAGGATAAAAGTCGAAAAATAAGACAAGAATAACTAATTTTTAAAAGCTGATGACATTGGACCACGTGCAACTCGTGCTTCATTTGAAGTATAATAATCAACTGTAGGACGTGTTTTAAATGTTGATTGTGTTAATGGTGTATATCTTGATGCTTGTCGATGATCAACAATACCTTCATTTTCATATGGTCTACGATTATAAAAATTTACAGGTGTTTGTGTTTGCATTGATGATACAGGTGAAGGTGCTGGTGCTACATTAACTGTTGATGGAACAGTTTGTTTGAATGATTGAGAAGTAAATGATCTTGCTGTTTGTTGATCTGCTGATGGAACTGCATTTTGTGTTGCTACTATTAAACAAATAATATAGATAAGATATTAAATTCTTCAATAATATACCTGGTTGAGTTTCAGCAGGTGTTGATCCTGAAGACATAACTGAAACAAATGGTTGAATATCTAAACAAAAAGATATATTGAAATTCAAAGAAAAAAAAACAATCATATACTTGGACAAATATCAGATGCCATTGGAAGTAGATCACAAGGTATAACATCAAGAGCAGGTATATTACATTGAGTTTTAACAGCTAAATAAACAAACAAACGATAAAATTCTTCTTCTTCTTCATATTTAACATAACAAACACAAACCTCGACAATAATATTGACATGGAAGTACAAGTGGTGGTTCATGTCGTACACGACATGGTTGAAAAAGCATTGGACATAATAAATGACGTAATGAACGTATACATACAGGATCTGTTGTTGAACCAATTAATGTTGTTAAAAGATGTGCAAGTTGCCAACGATCATAATGACCAAATGTATTTGGTAATCCATATCGTGCTTGTGGTACAGCACCACACATATCAGAAAAAATCGGATATTGTGGATCAATTAATGATTTACATGATGTACCCATATTAAGCATTGGATTAGTATTATATGAAAGAGGTGGTGATGATGGTGGAACCATACTAAAAAAAAAAAAGAATAATATAAATCGAAAAAATTATTTTTTTTTTTTAAATATATTTACTTTCGATTCATAAATCGAGACCAATCCATTTGATTTTTTAATAGTTCATATGATGGTGAAACTATTGCTGGTGGCCAACGTGAACGTATTCGATAACCAACATCTGCTACATTATATGGTGGTTGTCGACCATAATCACTAGATGGATCATCATCACTATCATCATCTGTATCATCATCATTATTTTTGTCTTGATGAACTACATTTTTCTTTGCACCAGATATGTCAACACCTATAATCATAGAATGTATTTTATTATTAATAAAATTTATTATCTATAAAAATCTTACTTTTTCCTGGATTTTGAGCAGTACATAATGATAAAATAATAGTTGTAAACAGTATTGTAAGTAACAGATATTGTTTACTATACATCGTTAATATGTTTATACTACAGTTGATTTTTCGAAAAGTGATAATGTTTCTATCTAGTAGTTTGACTAGAAAAATAAAGAAAATTATAGACTTTTCTTCTCTCTTCTATTTCAAAAGAATAGAATAGATGCCTGGATATTTTGTTTATATGATGTATATGCACCGAATATATATTATTCTATAGAAAATAAAATCCAGTCCAATGATTATACTTCATAGCTATTGTTTTCACTGATAATATGTATATTCTAAATGTTTATCAAAAACATTTCAATATCTATAGTAGATTAAGATAGTAAATTTTTATAGTCATTTATATACATAGTCAAGTTATTCTATTGAATCATTACGATACCTTGAATAAGAAAAAAAGAAATAACATATTTACATAAAGTTCAAATTAAAATATAGTTTTACTAAATGATGTGAATTGAAATTAAATGAAAAGAAAAGATATATATTTCATATAGAATTAATAAAATAATTACATTGTAATATAATATTTATTTAGTAATAAGTAGAGAATCACTAGATTCGAATAAGTTTTTTAATACTAAAATCGATTTATTGAATTTCTGTGCATTATATTTCAGATCTATGAATCTTTCAAAAACAAAAAAAATGCAGTATCTTCATCATATGAAATTCGACATGTTTTTGTTTAGCACCTTGTTGTTTTTTTTTTGATTGTCCTTTCTTAAAAAGTAAGGATTTAAATAAAATACTCAAGTATATAAAATAAAAACTTTTAACTTTCAAATTAATGATTTTTAATTCTTATTTATTGAATATCGTACATAAATGTTATGATAAAAATTTAACCTTGAAACATTTTCTTTTATTCTTTATTCATATTTTGTTATTTTAAATATTTAAATTTGATTCAATATATATATCTATTATATAATTTATATTATATAATTTATCTTTCTCAGGTGATTAATATAGAAAATATTTATTCTATATTTATCTTCATTCATAGGCCAAAATGACATTAAGCTATTAATAGCTAATCATTTGCGTCACTTAACATTCGTATTGTTTAGAATGATACTCCTACATATTACGAAATAGTTAACCCCTATGATTCATATATCTTCATTAATTACATATATACGAGATATATATATATATCAATAAAAGTAAAAGGTAAGATTATCTATTGAAAGCAAAATATAAAAAAAAAAAACATTCAATAATATATAACGATAGTTTTTATCTTTTATGTAATTATAATCTATTGATACTCATAAGTTGTCTATCGACATCTATCAATCGGGTTTTTTCTATTTAATCACCAATAATAATGATATTTATGAGTCACAGGGAATATTAGAGTAACAAGCAACAAAAAAAAAAAATGATGAATAAAATGTTGCATTGTGAAAGTTAATTTTCTTACATCATTATTCTGTAAAAAAAGAAACGAATAACATTGTAACCATGTTAACTAGTATGGCGCGTCGACCACCAACTCATGTTCATCATATGAATGGACTTCATCATCAACCATATCATTCAAAACCAACAAATGATAATAATAATAATGATGATGATGATGATAATGAAGAAGAACGACGAATACGTTCACGTATATTAGCTAATAAATTATCTGAATCATTATTACATCTTTCATCATCAACAACAACAAGTAAAGAAGATTCTATTGAACAACGTATTAAAACAGCTATTGATATATGTGATATTAATACATTACGAAATATTTATTCTCAAACATCATGTACAATATCAATTGAACGTCGTTTTAAATCTGGTGGATGGACACCATTAATACATGCTGCATATTCATGTCATTTTTCTCTTGTATCATTATTTGTCTTAGAATTTGGTGCTAATGTTAATAATAAAAGTTCTGAACAAATAACACCATTAATGGCATGTTGTATGTCATCACATTCAAAAAGTTCAACAACAAATGATAATAATGAACAATTATCTATATGTCAATTTTTACTTGAACATGGTGCAGAAATCGAACCATGTTTTGATATAATTGATGAAAAAATGATGACACCATTAATGTTAGCTGCACGTTTTGGTTGTTCATCATCATTAATACATCTATTAATTAAATATGGTGCAAATATAAATCGTTGTGATTCAAAAGGTTGGTGTCCATTAATAATGGCAACACAACATGGTCATTTGGGTTCAGTTAAAGCTTTAATAGATTCTGGTGCTAATATTCAATCAACAACAAATAATGGTTTAACAGCTCTTGATATAGCACAACATTTAAAACATGAAACTATAGTTCAATTTTTACTTGATGAACAAATAAAATTAGTAAGTTAGAACAAAACCAAAAATTTATAGAAGAATATTATATTTTGTTGTTGTTTTTTCTTTTTAGACTAAATCATCTTCTTGTTCCGTATCTTTATGTGATAATCAATGTGAATTAATAAATGAAAATGTGAATAATGAAATAAAAGATATTGAAGTAGATTTTGTTAATAATGATAATATTTTACAATTATCATCAGATAATCAAATGAATGAACAGTCATGGAAATCAATGATCTATATAGGAGTTGCAACAGCTATTGGTGCTGCTCTACTATTTAGTTTTGTATATATGAAACGATAATAATTAAAAACAAAAATCTATCTTTTACTTTATTATTATTATTTTCATTTCTTCATGTTGTCATTTATTCTATCGTTTTATTTCATTTTTCTTTTTTTTTGTGAATAAATATCTCAAGTCAAGAACAAAGTTTGTAGATGGCATGTGTCCTTGAGCTTGTATGTACGTGCACTTGAATAATCAAAGGAAAGAACGAGAAGCAAAAAAAAAAGCAATGATGCATGACTTCTATATAGTCGTATGTAATAATGACTCTTTTTTTCTTTTTGCTTCGGTGTATGAGACTTGAAGGTGAGTGTCTCTATTGATAATTCATCGTTCCAAAATTTTGTCTTTATTACTATATTTCTTTACTCATCAGATACCTATTTGCGACAGTAATATACATAGTAAACAAGGTAATAGCAAGGACATATACACTATTTAATCATAAAATTCGTTATGGCTACAACTTCTAATACAAATCTTCCAACTGTGGATCATAATGTGAATACAGTTGTTAGTGATGATCAAAAAACAAAACATGAGGACGAAGCAAGAAAATCACCATTATCATCAATTGATAATGAGCAAGGTGGAAAAACAACAAAAAAGGTCGATGATTTGAATAGTACTGTACATGCAGATAAACTATCATCAGTAGAATCTTCTCATCAAGGTATGAAGACAAATATAATATCTTTAATATCAAATAATTTATTAGATATTAATATAGATAAAAAGAATGAAGGCAATACAGTTGGAACAACTCAACATAAAGAAGAATCTAAATCAACACCTGTTTCTTCTACTTCAACTACGACTAATACAACAAAAACGACAGTTAAAACGCCTTCTAGTAGTCCAACTCCAGATAAAGATAATAAAAAAGTTGAAACAATAACAACAACAACAGTTACTTCTACATCTAATAAAGATCATGATATACATGATCATAGTAATTTTACAATTGGAAAAGGTGATTCAAAACATTTAACAGATTTTCAACGTCAAAAAGCAAAATATTTTTTTCATGTTAATCTTGGTAAAAAAAATTTATTTTGAAAATTAACATTATTTTTTTTTATTTTTTTCAATATTTAGATATTGAAAATAAAGAATTTGTAACATGGAAAGATGTTGAATTTTATTTATTAGTAAGTAAAAATTTTAAATGAAACAAAAAATAAATTTTTTTTTTTTATTCATAGTTTCATGTAACAGCTGCAAGAAAAGAAGGTTCAGGTGGTGGTGATTTAGAAGCACGTTTAAGTCGAGCTACAAGAGCTTTTTGGGAACATATTCATGATCAAATACCATTAGTTGATGGAAAACGTGATACATTAACATTAGATCAATTTCTTGATACATGGGCGAGTCTTGTTGATTATGTTGTTCGAACAAATCAATTACCTCCAATTGTTCATGATTTAGTTAAACTTGGTTTTGAATTATATTCAACAGATGATTATAATGGTGTATCATCAACAATTCAACCTTCGGCATTTGATCAACTTTTTCAAAATATGAATTTAAGTCGAACACATGCTATTATGGCCTATCAATTTCTTACTGAAGTAACTAGTATTTATTTATTTATTTTTAATTAATTATGTATGTATATTTCCTTTTTTATATAGAATGGTACAAAACCATTAGATGCTGATAAAATTGAATCAATTGTCAAAGCAGTAATTACATCCTCGGATGTAGAACATGATTCACATTTTCTTCTACCTGGTTTTTTTAAAGTAATAGCAAGTAGAAAAGATAATGTTAAAGAAAAAACAAATCAATCATCTTCACCAGTTCCCGATAAGGATCAATCCGAAGTTCATGATGTATCTTCATCAAAGTCAACTTCTCAAACACAACAACCAACTACATCATCATCTACTCAATCACAACCCACGCAAAAAACTTCTTCAACAACTGTACAAGCTCAAAATCCATCTGAACCATTTTCTCAAAATCAAGTTAATAATGGTTCTACATTGGATTCATTGAATATACAACAACAAAATATATATCCATCATCTGAAACATTACCACCAAGAGTTGTCATTCAAAATGAAGATGACAATATTCGTCAACTTTTACGTTTTTATCATATAGATGATGGTGATACTGTTGAAGTTGCCGATGGTTCTGTACCACGTGTTGTTTTTGTTCATCCTGAACGACCTTTACCACCTTATGTTCAACAAAATCCACAAGTATATCAAAATTTACAACGAGGTTTGTAATTTTTATATTTTTATTATCATTATAAAATTTTCTTTTCAAATAAATTAGATCCAACAAATATTATAGTACAACCACAAGCTGGACTCAATGTTTTACCTAATTTAATGCAAAATAATACGAAACCATTTCAACAAACAACTACAACAACAACAACAACAGAAACAAAGCCAAAAGTAACATTAGAAGAACGTTTATCTCGTGGTGAAACACAACAAGGTCCTACAATACCAATTCGTCCAGATCAACAACAAGGTGGTAATACATCAACAACACGTATACGTCAAGTATATCCACATATAAGTGAAATTCAACAAGAAGAACAATTAAAACAAGCTAAACTTCAAGCAAATCAAAATCTTATTAATGAAAAAAAACCAAAAGAAGAAACTTCAATTATTAATGATGTATCATCAAATAAACAAGATAAAATAAAAGAAAAAAAAGAAATAACACGTGAAGATGAAGAAAAACTTGTTGCTACTATATTACAAAGATTAACTCCAATAGTTGAAAAAAGAGTTTCAGAAGAATTACATCGTATACATAGTGGTGAAAATGATCAAGATGATAATCTAGAATTTATACCATTTCCATTTATGTTTACAACTGGTGCTGTTCCTTTTTTTGTACCTCCACGTGGAGGTCCACCACCACAAGCATTTAGACCACCACCATCACCAACTGGACAACAACAACAACAACAACAACAAAGTTTTCAACAAAATAGAGCAGATCCAAGACAACAACAACAACAACAACCAAAACAACAGCAAGCAAATTTACCTAGAGTAAATAAAAAGAAAACTTTTATTTTAAATTTTTCTTTTTTATCTTCTTCATATATAATATTAGGAAGCTGAATATATTGGACTACCACCAGGTGCTGCATTTTTACCTCCTCCAATAATTATGGCTATGATGAGTGATTTAGCAAGAGGAGGTATGGCAGGTGAAATACCTGTTTTTCCACCAAATATGCCACCTCCTCCTCATGGTCCAGGTGGTATGCCTGCAGGTCTTGAAGGTCAATCAATTCTAGAATTGAATTAAATGATAATTTTCAAAATATTATTATTGTTTTTGTTTTTTAATTCTAGGTTTTATGATGTTTGTTGATGATGAACCAATGATGGATCTTCCACCTGGTTTTCCACTACGTCCAGAACCTCGCTTTTAACGTTGTTGTTTTTTTTTTTTTATTTTAGATTAAAAAACGACAGTTTTTTTCACTATTCGTTCTTGCGCTTTTTTTTAAAAAATTCTCAATAAAATTATCTAGTACTTATGTCATTTAACAAATAAATACATATTTTTTATTCGATAAGATAAAATCGGTGTTTTTTTTTGAGTATGATTTTCTTTATTTTTATTTCAACAACTATATATAAAACAGATTCATTTTTCTGTTCATTATAAAAAAAAAGAGAAAGAGGAAGTGATCAACCTTCATCACATTCAAGAGCAAGTTTATCATCATGTTCATTATTAATAGTTTCATTTGATTTTTTATATGTCAAATTTAATTCTAATATTTGTAAACGATGATCAATGAAATTTTGATTATTAATATATGATGGTTTATCTATTTCATTAGCACGATTATATAATTCTTTTGCCCATTTTAACAAAGTAATTGTATGTATTAATGATAATTTTGAAGTATATTCAGCTTTTTCAATAAAATTTTTAGCAAGATCTCGTATTAAACGAATAAGTAAACATAAATAATTATCAAATATTAATAGATTTGATTTATTATAATCATATATCCATTCATATGAAAATAAATTATTATTAATTAAAATATAAATAATATGAACACGTTGAATAATAATTGGAATAATATCTTTAATAAATAAATTTGATATTATAAATAAAATTTTTATTTTTGATTCAATTTGTTTAAAAAATTCTAAACATTCATCTTTATTATTAAATATATTTAAAAATTTTTTTTTTGTATTTTTTCTTTTTGAATTTATTTGTATTAAATCATCAATACAAATTTCATAATCTAACATTATACGAGATATATTTAATGTTGTTAATATAGTAAATTTATGTTTAATATAATGATAATTATCTGATTGTTCAATATATGAATCAAGCCAAATAATTATATAATCATTTTGTGGTGAAAATGATGAAGTTCGTTTACGTTTACAATCATTTGATAAATAATTTCGTATAGAATTTTTTGGTGGTAATGGTCGTTTTATAATTCGTCCATTTAATGTATTTACATTTGTTCTTAATAAATGATCTTGTAGATTAATAAAATATTCTTCATTAAGAATTATATAACGTCTAAAACGTGTATCATATATTTCTAATAAATAATTATCCAAAATAAGTTTGTAATGATTACTAACCATTTGTATAAGATCATTATAATGAACATTGGGATTAACTAAGAACGAGTGAATTCTATGAGAGAAGTAAATGATCAAAGTCCATGAGGTCATTGTCTAACAAGAAAATTGATGTGTAGTTTTTCGTTTCTCAGTACTGCTTTGCAGTTTGATGTATGTTGCTTTTATTTATTCTTTTGCGTTCTGTATTGCTACCTGAAGAACGGAAGAAAAGAACGATAAAACACATCTACTATAGTTATTGAATTTAGCTTGGAAGTTTCAAACTAGTTCGGATATTTCATATTAGTCATGATTGTTCTATATATAAAATGTCTATACTAATTATTTTCTCATGTCTCATAAGAGAAACAAAATTTGACATGGATTTATCCAAGGGATCAGTTGAAACTTTGATTATATGTGGAAGTCTAACTAGATCCACTAGAAAATTTAATGAACAAACAAGTATGGAAGAAGTTAATGAATATGTAAGTCATGAATTTTATTCAAGTCTACCACAATCATATCAAATTGTCGTATATGATACGACAACAATGTCTTTCGTTGATCTTGAAACTCTATTACGAAATCGATTAAATCCGTTTCAAACAACTTCCTCAATAGATATTGACAATATTGAGAGTATGCCACCATGTACGAGATTATATGTTGTAAATCAATCGTTGATACATTCACATATTTGTTCTTCGAATCGTAATAATAATTATATAAACAAGATTTTGTATATGATTCTTCTTTTTTTTTGTTTTGTGTCTTAGAAATTCAACATGATCAAAGTTTATCCAATGATAGTTATGAAAACTTATCAATGGATGACATTCGTAATGAAACAAGTAATAATTTTATTATAAAAGCTCTCAAGAAATTAAAATCTTTTATTCTATATAGATTGTTTTATAAACAGTATTGCAACAGGTGATGATGTTTCACAGGACAATAATGAAGATTTATCACAAATGACTGGAGGTAACATACTTAAAAACAATGAAAATTTTAATTAAAATACTATTTATTAATATGAATACAGCACTTTCATATATTGTCTTTTTTGTTGTTGATTTATTAGGTCTATCATTAACGACAACACCAGCTGTTATTCAACATTCACAAATACATAATTTATTATCGAATCGATTATATTTTTCATTAGATGTTAAACCTTTTCAAAGAAATATTTATAAATCTGATGAATTTAGTATACGTGCAGATAAAACAAATGGACGTATTGCTCGTATACAAGGTATTAAAACAAATAAAGAAAAAATGCGTCAAATTTTACCAAGAATTCGAGTAAGTCTATTGCAAAAAAAAAAAACTATTTTTTTTCATGAACTATAATCTTTTGTACTTTTAAATTTCAATTGTCTCTTTATTTTTTTGTTTGTAATAATTTCTTATTTATAGATACCTTCAAATGCTTTTCAATCTAATGTAAAACTTCGTATAATAGTTGTATTAGAAGCAATAGATAATGACAAACGAATTTGGTATAAACATCCTGATAAAGGATTTTTACCAGATCAATATACAAAAGATACAAATCCAATTAATCCAATTGAATTCAATTTAAATAAAAATAATTTAACAAATGATGAAGATTTTATGTAAGTTAAAATTGAAATTAATCTTTATTTAAATTTGTTTTTTCGATTTAGATTAAGTCTACAAATGATAACAAAATGGAATAAATCTAAAAAAGATTTTGAAATAATTCATCAATTAGATGAAAAAAATGTTGTTCAATTACATTCAGCAATACATGATTCATGTTCACCACGTTTATTATGTGTTCTTGTACGAGATAATAGTCCTGATTGGAATACAATTTGTTTATCAGATTTTATTCGATTACCACGTAAGAAAAAATAATTTTATTGAAATTTGAAATAAAAATAAAAATTTTTTTTTGTTTTTCTTATATAGCAAAATCTGTTAGACAAAGATCTTTGAGTGTTGTTACAGGTTTGTTTTTTTTCTTTTTAAAATAATTTTATATATTAAAAATATTCTTATCTTTAGAACGAACTTATTCACCACAACGAAAACGAGCAAAAGTAAATGATTTTTTTAATGTTTTATTACATATATATATATAAGTTATTTTTTTTTAGTTTTAGATAAATATGATATTTAATAATAATGTCGATCAAATTCTACAATACATTCAAATAATCGTCTTAATTAAGAATTTTTAGCGTAAATTACTCCTGGTTTAATTCAATTCAAATTATCTACAAATAACTTAAATAAAAAAAAACATACAAAAAAAATGTTAATAGAAAAATGACTTCAAGTCTGATATATGCTCATTCATAATTAAAATATACAAAATAATGAGAAGAATTGTGTTTTTTTTGTATACAGAAATAAAATATTTTTTTACAAAAAGAAATTTTCTTTTTTCGATATTTTCTAAGTATCTCAGGTATCGTACTGTGCATATTTTTATTTATTTAACAATATCACTATCTATAGGATTTTATTGAAAAAAACTTAACTTATTAATACAATCACAAGAAAAGAATAAAATGTTCAACACAAGAAAATTTATTTCTAGAAGTTGATTTTTATTCTATATTTGTGTTGCGATTAAAGATAAACCAAATAAAATTCAGTCAAAAGATTAATTACAAGAATAAAATGTCAGGTAGGTGTTTGTATTTATTATTACCTATACCAAGTTATAATACAATTCTTAAAGAATGATTTATAAATAGGTTTCTTACTATAGGACAAATCAGCTCAGTAGGAAATTTAAAAGAAGGAGAATACCAAGAACGATTTTTCGTTTCTTGAAAAATGTCCAACAATTTATGATACTATCTTTAAAGAACTTCATAACATCATGTTGAAATACTTTGATTTGACAAAAGTCTTGATCTACTACTCAATCAGATTATAATACTTTTCAACAAGAATGATCTTTTTTCTCAAATTTGATTGACTTTTATCGAAAGTTCTAAGAATTTAACTGAAATAGTTGTATCCATGTTGCTGATTTCATATCAAAAAAGAAAGAACTCTAGTGAATATATCCATCAATCATATACGATTAGCCAGCATGAGTATCCGAGAAATTTTATGTGCATTATAACAAGTGCCTATAGAAGTTTTTCTTTATAGATTTATTCGTGGAAGAAAGTATGAGTCTCAGTGGCGTAGCCAATGGTAAGGCCATTGGGCAATTGCTCATAGATATTTTTGAAATCATAACGGTTGCCCTTAGCCACCCGTAACTCAAAATAGTTCGACCAATGAAATACCTATGACTCAAAAATTCCTGGCTACGTCACTCGTGAGTCTTCAATTTATTACTCATCTCTATTGATTTCATAGAATATTTAGTAAAATACTGCCGCAATATCACTTAAAAATAGACAAATATTGATGATTGGTAATAGTTGTGCATACAAACCAGTAGAATAAATGTAGTCATATGCCATCTAAACTTTTTCGTTTGATCATTACTCAGTTCCTTTCTTTTCTATTCTAAATTGGAATTTTCTTTAATAATTATTTTTCGAAAAGTGAAGGTTGGAAACTAGTGACTTTTGAAAAAAATAAAATAAAATTTTTTATTTGATTATCTAAATTTAGATCAGGAAGTCCGTTTATCAGTAGCAAGAGAGCGGCATCTATTAGAAAAAACGGATTGATCTTATTGAAATTTGTTTGTAGTTATTGCACCATATACTATATATCTGTACCTTCTATCTATCTATATATGTATATTCATCTTATCATAATTTTGAAATCTCTTGTCCGATTGATATAATTTAAATAAAAAGATCATCTTCTACCTACAATGATTCAATTTTTTAAGATTGACTATGAATAATAATCAAATAAAAAAAAGCTGTTATGATTGATGTTTTTAAATTGATAAATGAGATATAATCATCAGTTTAAACATATCTGTTTAGTTTTTTTTTCTATGTGATAATCAATACTCTAAGTTTATATATTTTTTGTTTTTGAATTTCAATAAATAATTTATTATCATATATTTAAATAAAAAAGATTTTATACAACACAGTATTGAATAGAATACAAACGTAGAATTATACTAGATAGATAAATAAAATACGAAGTATTCAATTAGAATACTTACATCCTCACACTATAAGTATAACAGATGCCTACGTAGATGTGAAAAGGATTGGTAATCATTTTTCTTATTGGTTATTGAATTAATTGTATCATATGACATACCTTTTTCTTTCGCTGTATACAAAAGTGAAGTGTCATTACAATCAATTTGATTATAAAAAAAAGAAATTATTTAATTAAATAAAAATACATGTACAAAAAAAAAACAAAGAAAATTTTTAAGATTAAAATTTTGAAAAAATTTCAATAGTTATATATTTTTGTAGTTGATCAGTGATCATGGCGACATGCCTCTTTAACACTCCTAAACCTTAGAATATGGGTAATAATAATCGGCCGAATTTTTGGGTAATAATAAATGGCCGAAAATGAAGCCAAAAACCGAAAGGACCGAAAAACATGTGATTGGCTATCATCCATCTGAATCATATTTATAGATGATTCAAACGAATGATAACCAATCGCATGTTTTTCGATCCTTTCGGTTTTCGGTTTCATTTTTGGCCATTTATTATTACCCCGAATTTTTGACCTACGGCCTACGTAGGCCTACGAAAATAATTGGTTATTTTCTTTTCGTTCTGCAGATGTTTCATACGAACAGAAAAACAAACGAATAATATTTTTTAGGTTCGCGTAGGCCAAAAATTCACCCGATTATTATTACCCTTAGAATATTCCTAGTTCGAAATTTTTCGTTATATTCTGCGCGTGGTAATGTTTTCCAACCTTAAACCATTTTTCTATCGTACCAATTGAAGGACACGTTTTAAATGACTTTATCCCACCAAACAATCAACACATATATTAATTGTGGTTGTGATAAACGACATACAACAAGTTTAAATAATCAATCAAATATTGATCAAATTCATGAACATATACGTGATTTATTTGGTTCTCATTTACCAAAATCATATTATCTTACATTCTACAATAATGAACATAAAAAATTCATTAAACTTAATCAAAATGTATTAGATTATGGATGGAATCCATTTCAATTGAAATCATCTATTAATAATCAAAGTATTGAAAATATATTACATTTTGTTGAATTATATGTTATTGATACTACAGATGAAAATTCTGATCATGATACACAATCTGGTATAAATAAATTTTAACATTAATAAAGAATAATATAGATAATAGTTTTTTTTTTTTTTTCATCAGGAGTTCAATGTAATGAAACAGGTTCTGATGACTCATCAAAAACAATAATTCATGAAACATTATCTCAATCAAGTAACATTTTATAAAAAAAAAAAAAAAGAAAAATTAATTAAAAAAAATTTTTTTCTCTAGATTTACCAATACATAACAATATAATCAATAATAATGATTGTCAAGAACAAGATTTATTAAATGCATTGCTTACTAAAGAATCAATTGATACAAGTAAGATTTGTTTTGTTTTGTTTTTTTTTGTCTAAAAATCGAATTATTTATTCATTATAGATACTCTTCTTGATACAACATATACAAATGATAATAATATTAATAATGATGAATCATTAAATACATATCCAAATGAAAATATAATTGATTCTAGTACGATTGAATATTTTTCTTATTTTTAAATTAAAATTAAGAAATTTTTATTCTTGATAGATTTTTCTTCGAACGATTTAAATGATTCTCATGTTACAGATTTCTTCAATGCATTACTTTCTGAAAGTCAATCAGATCAAAGTAAGCTTTGACATATTACATATCAATTTTTTGAAATAATTATATTGAAATTTTTTTTTGTCAGATATATTTATTCGTAATGATTCATTAGAACCTATTGAAGGTAATATATTTAAGACAATATATTTGTATTTTATTTATTTATTTATTTATTATAGTTGGAGATTCAATACCTTTACAAAATAATTCTTTATATTCAATTCAACATTTAAATAAATTTCAAAATTCAATACAACCAAATGAACAATTAAATATTGAATATAATCGTTTGTATTTTTCACTTGATGTTAAACCTGAACAAAAAGATATTTATAAATCTGATAAATTCAATCAAAAAGAAGAAACAAAACCGAATGGATATATTACTCGTATACAAGGTATTAAAACAGCAGAACAAAAAATGTGTTCAGTATGGCCAAAAATTCGCGTAAGTAATATCAAATGAGATTTTTATGATGACACGAATTTTCTCTTTGATGTTATCTAACTCTACGCACTAAAATAATATGTATTATTATTGAAATATGTCTTAGTCTATTGACTAAATATTGATACATTGTTTTTTTATGCACATACAAATTGCAAATAACCAATTTGGTTGAATATTTTGACCTTATGTATTTTCGTCTATGTTTTTTTTCTAGAATATTTCGCAATTAGTCATATGCAAATAAGAATTAATCAATTACAAATCATTATAAAAAAAAACACATTTATGAACATGTAATATATATTTTTATTTTATAAACTTAATGTAAGTGAAGATTACAGCGAATTTCTCTATTAGAAGATTTTGAAATCAAGTAAAATCATTGAAAGATCTTTTCGGAGTCTTATTGATTTATAAGACATTCTAATGATATCGATATTATTACTTCGATTTTTCTTTTATACAAATTTTCACTTTTGTTTACTCATGTAGTTCTATCATTCATAACTGTACTTTCATCGTCATATATACTAGTTTTAACGTTTAGACAGTGGGGCGTAGCCAGGGGTAGGACCATTGGACAATTGTCCATAGCTCCAAAAGTTATTGCCCATGGAATTATTGAGCTATGCAGTGCTTGAACAGTTATTGCCCATAGATATTTTTGAAATCATAACGGTTGCCCTTAGGTGCCCGTAACTCAAAGTAGTTCGGCTGATGAATTGCCCATGACTCAAAAATTCATGGCTACACCACTGCGTTTAGAATATAAGAATAAACAATTTTCACATTCGTAGTTCAGTAGTGACATTCAAGATTACTATGTTATTCTTTATTTAAATTACGAGTGTCTGTACTATTTAGGAGTGAATATAACATGTCAGCTTCCAAGTGCATGATGTACAGTATGTCTAGCATGTTTAGAGGGAGCGTTTCTAAGTGTCAAATCGTTTTAGAGTTGAAACTATGCGCATCATTTGGGTTCGAATGAGATATAGATACCTAGAGGATCAAGCTCAGGTGAGTAGTTTATCGTAAAAGTTATAAATCTTTTGAGTGCTTTTATTCTAAGATATAGCTATGATGAAAACATGCTTTTCACGTTGCTTATCCACAACGGCTAACACCAATGCTCTTATGCCATAATAGACGGAATCAAAAAATCTGAAATTTTCATAATAGAATATTCTAATTAAGATCTGTCTCTATGCAAAGTTTCAAGTCGAAATTCCAAACGTTTCTGAGAAGATCGCAGTATCCTGCTAGAAATTACGTTAAGAATACAGTATTTCAGCAACAATAAACTTAAAGTCTTTTCAAAGTATTCATAACTCATTAAAACCTACATAATACACATAATTTGTCTCAAAAAGCAATTTGACATTTGAAAACATTTCCTCATTATAGATATTGATAAAATTTCTTTGAAGCTGACGAAAGCTATTGAATTCAAAAAACACATTCTAAACATGAGAGCGAAATTGAGACACACACGCACAAGTCAACTATAATCGCTTCAAATAGTACATATTACAAATGTCAAATTTTCTGATACATGAGAATATATTATGATTAGATTTCATGACATATGAACAGGATTTATAACTGTAGTTGAACGAATAAATTTGATTATGTAAATATTTCTAAATTTACGGCGAAGTATTATTTTTTTTTTACAGCACACTTTGTATTCATATTTGAGTAGCTGTTGTTTTTTCTTTTCTATACAAAATTTACACATAGATTTTATATAAATTTCGTTTATTGTTTTTTTAGATTCCAAAATCTTTTCGAAATAAACACAATATATGTCTTGCTATTTTTGTGGTTTCGGAAAAATTAGAAAATGGAAAGCGAACTTGGTATAAACATCGTGATAAAGGATTTTTACCAAAAAATTGTACACGTGATTCACAATCAGTTAATCCAATTGTATTTGATATAAATGAAAGTAATTTAACATTGGAAGGCGATTTTGAGTAATACAAATTGAATATATAATTTTAATTATTATTATATATGTTTTTTTTTTTATATAGATTAGATCTACCAATGACAACTTTATGGAATAAATTAAAAGAATCTGAAAAATTATATCAACTTGATGAACAATCAACAATAAAATTACATTCAGCACAACATGAATCATTATCACCACGTTTATTTTGTATTCTTAAAGATAATAATTGTGATTGTCTAGATACAATTTGTCTATCGGATTTTATTCGAAAAAGTAATTAGAAAAAAAAAAATTGATTGAAGATATCGAATGAATTTTTGATTTTTTTTTTGTTTTCTTTTTAGAAAAAGCTTCAAAACGATATTTAACAAATACTGATGATACTACAGGTTTTTATATTTATAATGAATTCATTTTTAAAATATTTCTATTTTAGTTCAAACTTGTACAATTGTATATAAACGAGCAAAAACATAATAAATATGAATTATTATTATTTATGTAAAATACTAATATAAACTAGATATTAAAAAAATCTAGCATTAAAATAAATGAAGCCGGTGAACTGATTACAATCATTTTCACTTATTTTATTTTCGTTTTATTTTGTGTCTGTATATTAAAAAAAAAATAATAATTTTGTAAAAGTATACTTGAATTTTTAATAAAGTTTCATAATCCAATAAATATTCGATAATTTTCTGTACTTGTTATTATTTATCAAATTTATAAAAATTAATTTTATTCTCAAGAATAACAATACAAAACTTATTTTAAGCACGAATTTAGATAGCAAATTATTTATATAATAAAAAATGCGGAAACTTCGGATTTAAATCTGAGAGTTATGTGTACTTCAAAAAGTGAATCATACAAATCAATCATCCTAGACTGTCTGAATATCAAAATTATACTGTGAAATCTACCATTTAAAATGTTGATTTCTATTGTGCGTTGCCAAACCAATAGGACATGGGCCAAATACAGCTCAAGTTTGAACTCTTTCCCTTGATTTACCCTAAGAAAGTCGTTTTTCCTATAACTTCATTTCTATTGGTCACTGCGCAACTAATAGTATTTCGATGGAAGTGCAGTACACATTCGAGTTCTCCATATCTGAAAACCTCGAAGTATCATCAGTGTGACCGGAAGATAAAGCTCTATTTGTGGATCAATTAGATCGTGGACCAAAATATAACCTAGTTCTCTTTAATTGTCCTTGTCATTGGTAAGTCAATCTTCTTGTTTCTTTATGTTTTATATATCATTTTGTAGTTCTTGAAATTCCCTATCGAATGGTATATAATAGTTGGGGTTTTAATTGACTATGATAGGAAAAGTCTTTTACGAAAGTCGCGATGGGTCCATTTTTCCACAGAAAGCTATAGGGAAAAATGGGTATTTTTGTAATAACTCAGGAACGGCTCGGCCGATCCTTCTCATCTTCGAACTCGACCGAGACATTGTCAAGACTAAGCTGTGTAGAAAGTTTCATCGCAATCTGACTCTGCTGTCAAAAGTTATCATGTAAACAGCCAACCGGACGGACGGACACACTGACTATTCTATAGTGTATTCACTTTTTGAGTACACAAAACTATGATTCAGTTCAAAACTAATATCAGATTCAGAATCAGCGTTAAAAACTGAGTCGATTTACGTATTTTGTGAATAAGTATGAGCAAAAAATTTTTTTTCGAAAAATTCCCGTACCCCTCCTCAGGGATGGTCTGGTCAAAAATCACAATTTTTTCGATAACTCAGCCATTTCTTAGCGGATCCTTCTGCGACAAATACATTTATCGACCCCCCTCCCCCCATCCTCATCTATTGACTTAATTCGACTAATTAGACCCTGGGGAGTTCATTAAAAGTATTCCCAAAGGTCCCAGATCAATAGTTTAAGAGATAACCTAATTTTAAAAACTTGAAAATAGATAGCGCCAGAGTCGAATCAACCGTAGGAGAAAAATATCCAAACAATATCACAAGAAGAAAAATATCTAAATCAATAAAACGAAAGAAAAAAAGATTCATATGTTTGTCGTATGTGTCATCTGTGGGTGTGGGTGAGTGTGGGTATGGGTATGGGTGTGGGTGTGGGTGTGGGTGAGTGTGGGTATGGGTATGGGTGTGGGTGTGGGTGTGGGTGAGTGTGGGTATGGGTATGGGTGTGGGTGTGGGTGTGGGTGAGTGTATGGGTGTGGGTAGGTGTGGCTGTACCTCAAGAAAAGATTAACATACCCACACACCCACACCCACATCCCCACCCCCACCCCACACCCACATGACCGACCCTGAGTGGGGACCTAGTGATTTTTAATTATTTAACTGTTTGTTTGATACACTTACTACATTTTATTTCAAAAAATAAATCGTTTATGCAATTTTAAACTCAAGTCTAATTTTTCACATGTCTCCTAAACTATCGGTCTGGGACCTTTGGGAATACTTTTAATGAACTCCCCAGGGTCTAATTAGTCGAACTAAGTCAATAGATGAGGGGGGTCGATAAGTGTATTTGTCCCATCCTTCTCATCTTCGAACTCGACCGAGATATTGTCAAGACTAAGCTGTGTAGAAAATTTCATCGCAATCTGACTCTTCTTTCGAAAGTTATCGTGTTAACGGCCGGACGGACACACAGACCGATTTTAGTAGTGTACTCACTTTTTGAGTACACTAAAAATTAACTATCTTCAGTGTATGCTTGGCATTTTAACCTTGTCTCGTGAACGGTTTGGTTCTTTGAGCTAAAGAAGGTCTCAATTGGACAGAAAACAGTTTAATCTATAAATTCACCACACCCAAGTAAGTAAGTTATGAGATAAAAAAGTGAAGAAACGATTCGTTAACCCAACAACTTTTGTTCAGAATTTTCAAAATCTGACTTCAGATTCGGATTCACCGACCCCGACTTACTTTCGTCAACCTTTATAAAATATCGTTATTTTCTTAAAAAATCCTTTCTTTCACCCAAACAATGGAGTTCAAAATTTTCAAAATCTGACTTCAAATTCAGATTCCTCGACCCCGACTTGCTTTCGCCAACCTTTATGAAATATCGCTATTTTCTCAAAAAAATCTTTCCTTGGCCCAAAAGTTTGAGCTCAAATTTTTAATGCTTTATATACCATTTTGTAGCTCGTGAAATTCTCTATCGAATGGTATATAATAGTTGCGGTTTTATTTGACTATGATAGGAAAAGTTTTTTACGAAAGCGGGGATGGGTCGATTTTCGCATAGGAAGCCATAGGAAAAAATGAGTATTTTTGCAATAACTCAAGAATGGTTCAGCCAATTCTTCCCATCTTCGAACTCGACCGAGACATTGTTAAGACTGAACTGTGTAGAAAATTTCATCGCGATTGGACTCTCCTTTCAAAAGTTATCGTGTTAACGGCCGGACGGACATACTGACCGATTCTAGAGTGTACTCACTTTTTGAGTACACAAAAACTATGGACTATTCAATTATAATTATTTTGTTGCATTATCTGATGTTTGATATGAGTATGAAAAGAGATATGAACATTTTATTGGATTTTACATGAAAATTTGTATGTTATAACTATACATTTAGTTACGCAGAATCGTTTCGCACATCTCAGAAAGAAAATTTGCCAAACGATAAATTGTTTTTGAGATGAGTGAAAGCTAGAAAAGATTCATATTCGAGAGTATGGATAATCTGAAGAGCTACATCCACACTCGATCGGTCTGAATCCAGATGTTAAACATTGCGACTCGACAAGCTCTAGTCGTCGAAGAAATGTGTAGTTTGCAATAGTCACTGAAGTGTTTTTAGAGATTGGCGAATTCAGAAGAGAGTATTGAGAAGAATCGTTCTTTCCTTACAATTTTCTATAGCTGAAAAGATCCAAAAATGAACTAATACGATCTTTAAAGAGCCACGTTGAAGTGCTCCTGTTTTACGAAATTCTTGACTCACTACTCAATCAAATACTTCTAATTATAACACTTATTCTCCTCGTGAATGAGATCAAATATATTTTAAAAGTATATAGATACAAATTCGATTTTTATAAATTTAGATAAGGAAGTCTGTCTACCAACGATCCATACATCATGAGAGTTAAGAAGACGACGCCTTTCGAAGATTGAATTAGTCCTCACGGAGTTTTAAATCAGCTCTAATTCAACTATAGGATGTCATCAATCTGCATAAGAACTTTCAATATTATACAATAAGCACTTGATTGTTATACTCAAATTTGAACACGAGTCCTACTAAGGACAACTTGGGTCAGAATAGTAGTGACTCTCTTCTTTCATATTGGTTGTTTAATTCATTATACAATCAATCTTTTTGTTCGCGCTTTATACAAAGCTAGCATGTTCTTACAATCAATTCACTTATTAAAAAAAACTTGCGACATTTTTTTTATCTTTCGCAACCTAGAAGTTTCTCTAAATCCTTCAAATTTCTTACATATAGCATGATTGTAGCAGTTTTTCAACCAACTCAACCTTTTTTTTAGCTTATATTAGTTACAATATACATTCAAAATGACTTCCTCCAGCAAAGCAACTAACACATAATAACAAAAAAAAACTTGTAATAAAATCATTACCAAACAGTATAAATTATATAACAGTTATTGACTGTTGATCAACAAAATACACTATGTCAATCTGACTTTCATACAAAATAAAATTCCTAGAGGAAGATACATATAACTTAGTACGAGAAATTTCATATTTGAATTCTGATAACAAACATTTTATTTTTAATTCTTATCCTATTGTATCTTACAATATTCTTATCTTCAGCTCTATTGTACCTTGCAGAGAACGGTAGGGTAACTTTGTACATGTCTACTATTGAAATTATATATATTCAATGAAATCCTTTGAACATACATAATAGTCTGTACATGAATCAATATTATTTTGTAACATGAGTTCGATAAATATACAATGACAAGCACAAACTACTACAGGTTTATCATTCCGTTGCATAAATATGAGTTTCAACATATGCATGGCTAAAAGAAGACATAATTCAGATATCTACTGCCTTTAACAAAATGTATTATATCAAATGTGAATGTATTCTTCATTAAAATAGCTTTTAGAGTTATCTCTACAAGATTTAAATGTGAAACACGATGTAGCTACTGTTACTAATGATACAGAGATTGTCGTATTTTATTTATTGTGAGACACATTTCTTCATCATTCATTCACATAATTCTCATGAGATGAAATAAAGAAGTAGATCATAGGTATTGATATACAGATTGTGATCGTATATTAACAATGTTTATTACGGTATGTGAAAAGGAAAATAAAATATTCTTCAATATTTCTTGTACTTTTTAATACTGCACACCTAAAGACCAAAACAGAAACATGAGAAAATGAATTTTGAAAATATTTTTATGAACAAGTCAATTCACATTTTACAATATTTTAGAATGTTAAATTTTGAAAAAAGACAGTAATTGTTTTA